TTTTTTCAGATTATAATTCTAATCTGAACTGAAAAAAATCTGAACTGAACTGATAATTTCAGATTAATCTGAAAGTTTTGTTCAATTATATGTGAAACTCTTGGAAGATCGCAAAATTTGCAAATTCTCTAAGAGAATTGCAAAAATTTAGCGAAACTCTTAGAGAATTGCAATTTTTTGCGATTTCTCTTCGAATTTTGCGAAAACCTTAAAGAATCGCAATTTTTTTGCGATTTCTCTTAAAATTTCGCAAAATTATTGCGAAACTCTTGAAGAGTCGCAAAAAATTGTGATTTCTCTTCGAATTTCGTGAACCTCAAAGAGAAATTCACGATTTTTTGCGATTCTCCTAGAGTTTCGCATATAAATTGTGGATTCCTTATATAATTGAACTGTAATTTCAGATTAATTTGAAAATTCCAGTTCAGTTCAAATTTTTACCAGTCTGCAGTTCAGTTCGGATTCAGATTGGCATTTTAAGATTAATAATCTGTATCAAACTGAACCGAAATTTTCAGTTCAGATACGGATTGGCATCTAATCTGGACTGAATTGAACTGTTCAAAGCTTTAACTATACCTCTTCGCCTATAATTTCCTTTTATGAGTGCTAGAATATATTTCTGATTCTATAGTCAAATCACTATGCTTTGTTTTGGAAAGGATCTGATCAACAAAAGCAATAATTTTTCTATTTTTAGCAGAAATAATATCCTTCAGATTCTGGCATCTATTCTCTAACAGGTCAATGGACTTTTCAGCTGATGCAATATTTTTTTTCGTATCAGGAATTATACTTTTAAAAAAAGCTATTGAATCTGATAATTGGGTAATTTTCCCACTACTCTCTTCCAAAGACCTGGTCATGGCTACCTTATAAGACTTATATTGCTCTTGCAAGTTGAGAAGTTCTTCAATCTTTTTTTCCAATACCTGCTTTGATATATACAATTCCTTATTTTCTTGCCTTAACGAAGTTTCACAGTCGCTAATAATAGGCTTCATCTTCTGATGCTTTTTTTGCTTAATATAATTTTCAACCGTCTTATTTAACAAATCTTCCACTTTGGGATGGATACTACTTGCCTGTTCTAATAATAATGGATGTTTTCGTGATGTAAGACGTCACTATGTATCTATTTTGATGAAACAAGGAAGCTGGTTAAGTTACTTTGAGTAATATACATGAAAAGATGGTGTTAGTACACCAGTCATCTCTTATAAATAATTAAAAATTTTTGAGAATTTTATAGATTCAGAAATTTTATAAGAAAAATACAGATGAATGTGTAACAAACATTATTTTGATTATTCCCACAACACCCCCAAATGATGATTAATTTACAAGAACAAATAAATCTGTGGGTTAGTAAATGTCATTTTTTTACATATTTATTATTGAAAGCAGAAATTACATTGCGTATAACTTTGTTTATTTATAAGCTAAAACATAAGCCCGATGTGGCGAAACTTTGTTAATATTTTATTTATTTTCTAACCCATACGTGAACGTTTTGATTTTTGTTGCTCTAATTCTCCAACTAGTGCTTTTAACAGTCGAATAACATAAGAAACCACTACATTTATATCATCTTTCACATTATTTCCTGTAAGTTTACATTCAATTGTTTTAGACACCTCAAGTCGTCTGGA